AATAAAAAGCTGTAGTTAACAGGAATATAGCGTGCCAAATTTTCTTATAATCATATTTCAGAATTAGTTAAAAAGTTCGTTAACAGATGACGTTACTGGATAAACGAGCAATAAAACAATTTTTACTCAGGCATGTCAGACTATTCCAATTCGTTTCTGCAGATGTTGTTTTAACACCGTTTGTTATTCTAACACCATCTGCTGCATTCTCCATTAGCAGTACTACATCAGTTGAAAAACTTCTAAAATAATTTTGATACTTGTGAGAACAAAACTTGTTTCCCCAGTAAACGGTATATTCTTATCTGTTTTCTTTAATTTAGTTCCTCGATGTTTTAATGGAACAGTGTCAATGTCAGCTTTTTTTTCCCGTCTTTTTTTTGATGTTAAATTGTATGTTTCTTACATTATCTAAATATTATTTTGATAGACCTTATTAGTATGTGGCGTAACTATCACTACGAAAATTAAACATCAATTTACTGGTATATAAGACATGCTAACTTGATTCAATCAAGAGGTACCTTTTGATAGATGAAGGTTGGCATGATCGATAACTCCACCCCCACAAGTAGTTGTAGAAACCATAGATACAATTTATAGAGTATTTCAGAACAACCTGGTACATTGATAAGACTTAACAGCTGCTATAAATAAAATAATATGTCGAAATATATAATTCTTGCAATAAATCAATAACTGTATTAATTATCCTAAGTAATCCTATACCGCTCATTTTTTTCTCCTCTTCTCTTTTGTATTTAGTGAATCATAATTTCATTTTTCAATTTTTCTTTTCTGTTTTTCAAGATTTTTGAAAGAAGACTTGATTAGAAATTTTTAACAATGATTTAAAAAAAAGGAGAAAAAAAATACTAATAAATAAGATGGTGCCAACAGAAAAAAATTGCGATGCCCAGATTGTCTTCCGATTGGTAGAACACCTTTTTTTTTGGACCACTTTCTTTTTGTTCTAAATATCTTATTCTTCTTTCATATATAGCTTTCTTGTTACATTTCAGGCACGTCCGGAAACAGAAGCTCCTGGAAATCGCATCTAAAACTGCCCGGGCACACACTTCCAAAGGCATAAGGAGCCATCCGCTCCACCTATACCCTCTTCATGCATTTTAAAAAAAAGAAAGTGGTGAACGTAGAAAGATACATACAAGAAAAATCTTGGATGACGAATGGGTATGGAGAGATTCTTCTATCAATTTTTTTTGTTTGGGGGTGGAGAAAAATGTGATTTTGAAAGAAAAGAAATGACCACCACGATGTGGTGCGAGAAGTTCTAAATCTCGTCGACTTTACTTGCCGATATTTTCCCTCCGAGGTCGAAATGATTTATCTGTGTAGCTAGATCGAAAAATATTGTTTTTGTACGTCTACGGAAGGAGATTATATAAACTGAAGCTGGAAGGTTTCGAAGGATTTAAAAGTTGCAGTCACGTAACAGCTTAAAATTCATTAAAAGAAAATTTTGGGACATGCGGTGGCTTAAATGTGTGGTTTGTAATTTAAGCATTTGATAATTAAATACTAGTTTAAAATTGCAATTTTGATCTTTTCTTTATTGATGAAATTGGAGCTATAAAATGGGACAAAAATTTAAACTTTTACCACATTTTAAATTAATTTTTTTAGTGGCTAAAAACAATAGAAGATAAGTGCAGTTCTTGTGTGCGTTTTGTTTGTTTCCTTGTTTTGTTTTTTTCCTTTATTTGTTAACGTAGCGTTGGAACTATACTAGTGGGTTATTGACAACAATCAGGGATTCATTCAAGAAATAAGACTTGAAAAAAATGCTATAAAATGGGACAAAATTCTTAACTTTCACCACATTTTTCAAGTGTTCAATTAGGTTTCTCAATAGCTAACAAAAGTTGAAGATAAGGGCAGTTTTTATGTTTGTTCCGTTGGTTTGTTTATTAATGTAGCATTAGAACTATACTAAAGGTTTATTGACGACAGTCTGAGATTCTTTAATCCAAAAAATAAGATTTGAAAAAAATTAAGACCGTGTCTGGGATAAACACCATTAAATATTGAATAAATTTGAGTACTACAAAAATTCAGAAGCTGGTCTCCTAGTCCCTCGTTTGATTTAACTTCTAATTTTATATTTCATATNCTCTATATACTAATGGGTTATTGTCAACAATCTGGGATTCATTATTCCAAGAAATGACTTGAAAAAAATAAAGACCGTGTCTAAGATAAACACCATTAAATATGGCCAATATGAGGTATGATACTTTTTTTATATACATAATGGGACAATATGCTATAAAATGTTACAAAAATATTAACTTTCACTACATTTTTAAAATGTATTTTTTAGTGGCTAAAAATGGAAGATAAGTGCAGTTCTTATGTGCGTTTTGCTTGTTTCCTTGATTTGTTTATTAATGTAGCATTAGAACCATTAGAACTATACTAATGGGCTATTGACGACAGTCTGAGATTCATTAATCCCAAAAATAAGATTTGAAAAAAATAAAGACAGTGTCTAGGATAAACACCATTAAATATGATCAATATAAGATATGATACCTTTTTTATATACATAATGGGGCAATATGCTATAAAATGGGGCAAAAATCTAAACTTTCACCACATTTTTTAAGTGTTCAATTAGGATTTTCAATGGCTACCAACAGTTGAAGATAAGTGCAGTTTTTATGTTTGTTTTGTTTGTTCCCTTGGTTTGTTTATTAATGTAGCATTAGAACTATACTAATGGTTTATTGACGACAGTCTGAGATTCTTTAATCCAAAAAATAAGATTTGAAAAAAATTAAGACCGTGTCTGGGATAAACACCATTAAATATTGAATAAATTTGAGTACTACAAAAATTCAGAAGCTGGTCTCCTAGTCCCTCGTTTGATTTAACTTCTAATTTTATATTTCATATTTTTTCCCATTCCATTATTATTATTATTATAAATTAAAAAAAAAGATGTTTTTAGAATGTGATGGAAAACGATCAAGAAAATTCGTTTTGATAAACATTAATTTGTTAACGAAATGATAGCTTTCGGAGATAAATCTGTTTTGATGCTTTTGTTTTGTATTCTCACTGATTCTATTTCGCATCGAGAAAAGAAAAAACGATGTCGATTAATGTTTGTATTTAATTCTATGAAATAGTTTAAATTTAAAATTAAATAAAAAAAATTCAAAGAAAAAAAATTAAGCAAGTCCTTTTTATAAAATTAAAGCTATCTGAAAAGAGAAAATAAAATAATTACGAAAGAACCCACTGAACAAAAAGTATACATCAGCTGAAATCATCGATTTTTTTAAAACTTAATTCTACGATTCAATTTATTTGAAGATTTTCTGACTCGCCAATTCGTTGATTCATTAATTCTCCCATTCATTGTATGACTATTCAATAAATAGTAAATTCGATAACTTGCCTATTCACTTCCTTTCTTCTCTCATTCTTTTCTTTCTTTATTCACTAGCTTTAAGAAAATAAAATTAAAAAGTCACTGGTAGCAAACGGTTGCCGCTAATTCGGCCGTTCATTATTACACAGATTCCTTCAATGATTCATTGATTCGCCCATTCGAAGATTCTCTGACTCACCAATTCGTTGATTCATTAATTCGCCCATTCATTGAATGATTATTCACTAAATAGTCCATTCTATAATTTGCTAATTCACTTCTTTTCATCTTTCCATCTTTTCTTTCTTCATTCACCTGCTTTAAGAAAATAAAAATCATTGAGAATAAACGGTTGCCGCAGTTACGCTTCTGTTCATAAATAAAATCGAACAATCTCAAAATCGCCATTTTTTTACTAAATTATTGATTTAACAGAGGATAAATCTTTAAAAAAATAACACTGTAAAAAATAAAAAGAAACTATCGGTCAACACGGTAAGAGAAAGCATGGAGTGGCAAGAGCTAACAATAACGTTTACTCTAATAAGATGATCAAAAGTTAAGGTTTTCTATCCCCAAATTTATATATTTAAATATTTGACAAAAAACAAGGGAAATTTTTTTGCGAAGTGATTACAGTATAAAATGTCATCTTACTTTCATTATTCAACGCAGAAAAGAAATTTTTATTAAATAAAAGAAAATGCATTTCAAATGGAAAGCTGTTTATATACGGAAAAAATTTTATAACGTCACATGATAATTATTTCAATTGTTTGTTTAGACAATGATAAAAATTTCACATGTGATTCATGCTCATTTTAGTAATTGAATTATATAATAACTAAGTTCCCCCTCCCCGTCTCCCTGAAATTTGAGCCATCAAATTAAAAGTTTAAAGCTTGGCCATCAAGGATGTTAAGCAATCCTACTGCTGCCATCTATGCTTCGAGTTCTAAACTTACTATCTACTTTGGATTGAGCGTGGTATCTTTTGCAAATGTTTCTTATCATTCAATTTACTTTTGCGATTTGCTTATTTATTATTAAGTTTTTAATTTTTATAAGATTGCTCTTTTATACTAACTGGTCCTGCACTTGCTTAATGTATAATTACAGTTCATCCAATCATAGTATTTTTAATTTTTTTTTTATTATTTTTAATTTTGGGGAATGAAATTAAAATATTTCTCAAACTTTCAGATACAGATTTTTTTTAAAAATGGAATTTTTTTTCGCAATATTCCAAATATCTTAAAAGTTAAAAATAATTTTATAAGTTTGCGTAAAGATTGAGGTTAACGCGTGCTTCACGAAATAGTTATGTCGTCATTAATAATTCATACAATAATAGTATTGTAAAAATATAATTTTTGTTAAAGGGGAATTTTCCTGGGACTACTTGAATTAAATTTTCGATATTTGGAACAGAGTTAGAACTCTTACATTTTTTCACAGCAATGCTGAACTTGAAAAATATAGTTTTGCAATTGAATACGTAACGCATTTCCACAATTTTGTATTCTTTTTCATAAGAATGTTCGAATAGCATGCAAGTTACTGGAAAAAACGTGCACAAAACACACATACAACTAAACAATGTAACACAGAATAAAACTTCTATTTATTAATCCAAAAGAATACAGTAGTAATAGTTAGCCATTATGTGTAGAAGAATTCTACAAATAACAATACGGTATTATGGTGTATATGTTACCAGCGAAGTTGGAAATCCGGGATAATATAGAATACCCAAAATTAAACTGCGAAATTGCAAGTAATTATACACTATTTCTCATATTGTTAGTATAGAGCAAAATCAAATCATTGTTTCTGTCTTAATTTTAGAAATGACCTTAAAATGTTTACCACATTTTCAGATATTTGATAATAATATCTACATCATTAATATCAAAAGTTTTTTAATCTTTTAAAAATTTCGATTTGTTAAACATTGGCCACATGTTTTAAAAAAAGGTAGCTGACAAATTACCCTGTCCACCAAGACTATGGCCTAAAACAAAATTTTCTGTTACGTTGCTGCCTAATAATGGCTAAATATTGAATACAATGCCACATGACAAATCGGCTAGGCATAAAATATGATTATTTGTATAATTATGATTTATCAGCATTAGAATTTTGCTGCAACAAGTAAATTTACATTTTATTTTGTTTTTCTTAATAAAAGAAGCATACATTTTTAGCAACCGCCATGTGTGTATTATTAAAACTAATCAGTATAATAATCCAGCTTCGTTGTATTGGTCACTGCCGGGTATTCCATATTGTGGTATCAATTCAAGGTAAAAGGTCACTATCCGGTATCTTCTAAGAAAAAAATAAGTTGTAAATTTAACTAAGAAAATTCTATTTTATTTCTCTTTTAGATCACTGCCGGGTATACACATCCAGTAATATTTTTTTTAAAAAAGGAAAGCAAGGAAGAAATATGTTCTTTCTTTCCACGCAATTTACATTTGCCAAATCATACTATCCGACTTTCCTAGAAGACATTTTTCATTATATACAATGATTAAATAAATTATATAATTATTCTTGCGTTTCATATTTTCGTTAAAATGTCAGGCATAGTACACACGCCAACATTTCTCACTTTGTCAGATTCTCACATTCATCATAACATAAACACATAAATTATGATTAAACATTTTTAAAAATTTGCACAATTATGTGCTGAAGTCCTTCCTTGGAAGTAAAAAATAATTTTCGATATTTTGCAACCGAAAGAATAGTTTTACCTCTTATGATGAGATTTAACAAAATTGCTTACAATGTTATTTCAGAAAAATGTTTTAGTTTAATGCCATTGTAGGTATAAAAAATGTATCATTCATACTTGCCGGAACTATTTTACGAATTACTATTTTCCTATTTTTTGTTTTTAAGGAAGAAGTTTTAAAAAGTTATTAAATATTTAAATATTCTAATACAATTGTTCTGATCATATTTGTATCTATAGTATTTTGAAAATTACAAGGTTTTTGTTGAAAATATAATGATAAGCCACAGTTCAAATTCTTCAAGGGAGAGCTTTTGGTGAGGAACCCCCTGATAAACATAAAGCATTAAAATAGTTCTGTGTAATGCGCTGACATCTAGTGGAGATTCTGGAAGTTCGTGAAGTTACCTATCCAAAAACACTATCTTCAAAACTTGTCACAAGCCTTTTAATTCAAAGATTGTGTCCAATGACAACTTAAGATAAATCTAAATGCTTAGAGCTCAGAAAATCTAGAGCTTATACGAAATTTTATAATTGTCAATGACCCTCTGAAGCTCTTGAATCTCTTATCTCTAATATAAAATTATAAATAAATAAAATTGCAAAATTCTTCATTTAGAAAACTCTGAAAATTTTGCCGAACATTTTCATTTTATCTATACGAAACATTATAGATAACTTTGTTGAACAAACTTTTTGTTGCATTTATTTAACAACTAGACTTTACCTAATTCGTGTATGAAGATATCAAGTCTGAAGAACTTAGTTTTACTCCTAAAGCTAAAGATTGTCTTTTTTTAATGATATTTTTAAGCCTATTGTTAGTCGAAAGATACAAGTACGAAAACGTTATATATTACAAGGCGTTGCATGAATGTTGTGGCAAACTTCGAAGGCATTCAAGGTACATCATCAGGATTAAAATTGCATTCCCTTAAATTTCGTCGTACTCTGTATCTGTTCGGAGTGCTTCCCAATAATAATATGTCAAGAAGCACTCGAAAAAAAAACAGTACATAATAGGGGAAGCACCTCTAGCGGCATATGATGACATTTCTGGGTATGGGTTACTGTGGAATTTTAATCTTTATGATGTGCCCTAACTCCCGTAGAAGTTTGTTGCAACATTTACGCAACTCCTATTATACATAACTTTTTTAAACTTTACATTTACTTACACTTACTTACATTTTAACACTTACTTACACATAAACTTTACATTTACTTACATTTCGACAAAAAATAGATTAAAAATGTCATTAAAAAGAAACTGTAGCTTAGAGAGAGAAACAGATTACAGATTTGAAATCAGTGACGTGAAAATCCAAGATCCGTTAAAAAATCTCATGCAATAGTAAACGAACAAAAAAATTTTCCCCAATGTAATATACACTATTTATAATTAAAAAAAATTAAATATGTTGCTCAATGTCAGTTACTGGCATCAACTCATAGGGTCCTTCAGATTTCTTGTGCCAAATTACGAAAGCTATTATAATTATCGAAATAACAATAAGACCACTTAATAAAGCAATTCCAGCTGCTGCCATTGGTGAGAGTTTCGATGACCTTGATGGAGAATGAATGGTAGTAGACTCGTGGTTCAACGCCGTCGTAAAAAATATGGTAGAATTTTCTGTACTGCTATGATTATAATCTACAGTACTAGTATAGTAATCTACAGTAGTGCTATTATTATCAGAAGTGACGAAACTAACTGAGAAATCGCTACTAGATGATGCGTTTTCTGTATCATTCTTTATTCCGTTTGTGGACAGGTCAAAAGTCATGTTTACTTCCTGGAGCAGTCTGCTTGTATTCTTTCCTACTTTTTTTGTTGAATTTTTTACAACTGTATCTGTTTGAGAACCATCGAAATGATATTGGTAATTATCCATTGATAATCGGAAGTACCCATAAGCATAATCTGAAGAAAAAAAATTGAAAAGTTATTTATTCATTCAATTAATATGCGAATGCTTTTAATGTTTTTGAATAGACAGTATTTGTTTGTTAATTTACTATTAAATCCATTAAGAGGCCCTTTCCTCTCCCAATCGAACTCAATTGTCGAAGAAGTGGAGACAGTAAGAGAAAAATATAAAGAGTTTTTTATTCCTTTTTATTCAATTTTCACAAATTAACTAATGCTGGATATTTACTCTGTTACCCACAAGAAAAAAATTAGACTAGTAGCCTATTATATATGAAAGAATGAAACCGGTAAAAGTTCATCCTTGAGAACTGATTTTATAATGACATCATTGAACTTGTACCATTACTAATAAACGATTATACGAAAGAAAGTTTTCATAATTATCATCATCGTCCCTTCACTGAACTTAGTGAGAAATTCAAACGCGTGATGCCTCAAGAACAGTGGAAGATGTTAATGTTAGGTAAATTCATTTTAATACTCATTTATTGCCGGAAGTTCAATACAATATTGCATAGTTGAGAATATGGGACAATGCAACTGGTAATCTGTTAGGTACTCTTTAGGAATAAGTTTGGGCTGGAAGCAATTTCGTACCAATATAATCATTATACTATTTATTTATTTATTACAAATGCCCAGACGATTGGCTATGACGCCATTATTTCTCTAGCCTTCCAATATCTCTGTACATTACAATTTAAAAACACATGTGCAGAACACGAGTCAAGACGAGTAGCATCAAAAATGTGATGTTGTCCACACAAATAGCAAGAAGGAGAATCATAAAGCCCAAACCGATACAAATACGCGGGCAAACAATCATGGCCTGTAGTAAGGCGGAAAAGTGCCACAGCTGCTCTTCTAGGAAAATCTGGAATCAACCATCAACCGTTCAACCTCAAGCAGTGGGGCCCATGGCCTACCAGCAGAGTCACATAATGTTTTCTGCCTTATCCTGGTTAATCACTATACTAGTATTATATAAAAACAAAGCTTTCCTAATCCTCAGTAATGTCACTTCAACAAACTTAGAGTAAAATCCAAACTCATGATGCCTCAACAAAAACGGAAAATGTTAATTTAAAATTAATTCATTTTTATCCCCATTTATAAGCGAAAGTTTGATAATATCTTACAATACGTAGGTCAGAATATGGGACTATGCAACTGGTAAATGAGTTTTTCAGGGTGGAGTTTGAGCTGGTAGCAACTTTAGACCATTGTTTATCATCATTTTTCTAGGGCAATTATATAAAAAAGAATATTTTCTTAATCATCAGCAATGTCTCTTTCGTCAAACTAAGAGTAAAATCGAAACATATGATGCCTCAATAAAAGTGGAAAATGTTAATCTCAAATAAATTCATTTTTATCCCCATTTATGGCAGAAAGTTTGATAAAATCTTTCAATACATAGGTAGGAATATGGGACAATGCAGCTGGAAAATGCCAGCAACTTTGGGCCAATGCTTATCATAATTATACTAGTGCCATTAAAAGCAAAGTTTTCCTAGTCAAGCAATAATGTCTCTTCATCAAACTTAAGACAGAATTTAATCAAATCGTACTCAAACAAGAGCGGAAAATGTCAACTCCAAACAAAATTCTTTTTCTCCCTTACTACCCTAATTTTTGCGTTCTTAAAGATGGATTAAGAATTAATCTATTTAAATAAAAAATTTGTAAATGTGTTATTCTTTAATGCTGATTTTAGGAAAATTGTATCAATGTCAATGCCACTACAATGCCAAACTTAGTGTGAAAATTACCTGGTTTCTAACCAAGGGTGGGAAATTTTAATTTTTAAGAAAATTCATTTTTTACCTCATTTAATGTCAAAAGTTCTGTACAATATTAGAACAAATATTGCAGTTTTCTATGAAACAACACGATTGGTAAATGAGTAACATTTTTGAGTGGAGTTAAAGCAAAAAAGACAGCAGTGCACCATTCTTCTTTGTTTCCTTAGATTTGCATCATAAATAGTATTTTTAAAATCTAGCCTCATCGAATAGAACTCTCATTACTACATATACATTTTTAAAAACAAAAATTAACAAATAAAATAAATTACTGTTTATTTTTATAGCATTTCTAAAAGTTCAGTTACTCTATGAGGAAATACTAAAGTAAATAAATTGTTAAAATAAAGTGAAAAACCATAATGGCAACAAAAAAAAAATCACAATACATTTCTGATTTTTGTGTTAGATAAAATGATCTCTGAAGCTATATTTTACAACCAGGAAGTGTAGTTTTTGAGAACTGAAACTTTCATGTCATGTGACTCTCATCGCATGTATCTTTACAAGATCTAAATATTAATTGAATACTAATGTTATATTTAATATTTTAATACGCTTCGATTTTCAGATTTCACTTTCTCTTTGTGAATCATCAACTAAGGGAGAGGTTTTTTACTTCCTCACTGCTTGTAAAAATGTTTTGTCAAAATACATCATTAAATTTCTATATTGCTCAAAAGATGATTCTTCAATGATGCTAGTTTAACTCATTCACAAATTAATCAATTTCAAAGAATTTATTTTCAGCCATTCATTGTACTCATCGCCTTTACCAGGTAAGATTTACTACCTTTTTCCTATCAAGATTATGAGACTGAAAGTATAAGATAAATATAGTGTGCAAAAATTATAAATATATTATTTGAAAAAACAAAAAACAATATAAGCTATTTTAAGCTATATTGAACTTAAATAAAAATAACAAAATAAGAATGCATGCATTTACCATTTATCATTTATGTTGCTCGTACATATCAATATACATATCGTAATCAATATATGTATCAGAATATATTGATTACAGCACACTTATTAAATAGTAATATATAAGACTATAACTCTATGTATTTGAAAAGAAATATAAATATAAAAATGTATATATATATATATATTTATAAAAATGAAAGTCTAGTGTGATAAATAAAAGTGTTTAAATTTTCTTAATTAGTGAATGAGTATATAAAATATAAATATTGGCTGAAATTCTAAACAAAAACACTTATTATTTTATAAAATTAAAAATGGCATTATCAAGAGACTCTCAATTGATAGAAAAATTAAATCAACACAATTATAGTCATTGGAGTTTTAAAATGTCAATGCTTCTCATTAAAGAGGAATTGTATGAAATTGTAACAGATACACCTCCAAATCCCATTACAGCAGATTGGAGTAAAAAAGATAAAAAAGCCACTAATAAACTTGTGCATTGATGATAATCAAATAGTTCACGTTCGTGAAAAAGAAACTGCTAAAGAAACATGGGATACATTGAAATTAATACACGAAGGAAGCAACTTATCTAGCAAATTATTTTTGTTAAGAAAACTTTACAATACGAAATTAGAGGAAAGGGGAAATATGATAACTCACATTACTAAAATTTTAGAGATAGTAAACAAACTTAAAGCAATAGATGAAAAAATTAGCGATTCTCATCTATCAGCAATTTTACTATGCTCAGTACCACAAAGCTATGACACACTCATAACAGCATTAGAAGCTAGACCGGAAACAGAATTAAATTCCGAGTTTATAAGAAGTAACCTAGTTGACGAATATAATAGAAGAAAAGAAAATAACTACGCGTCGGAAAATCCAAACAAAGCATCTCAAATTAACAGAAAATATAAGAATAATTATAAGAGGGAAAGTAATAAATATTGCACACATTGCAAGCTTAGAAATCACCATAATGCTGATTGTTGGCATTTGAAAAAATCTCTTAGTTACCAAAAGCCAAAGCAACACCCAAACAAAAGAAACTCAACCTCCTTGTGTAAAAATACTAGAGGTGAGAAAAACTATAAGAGCAATACGCAAGTTGGGAATGAAATAGAAAATAAAATGAGCAACTTAACTTTCTTAACTTCGAAATCAGGTAAAGAAAACTGGATCATTGACTCTGGTAGTTCATAACATATTTCTAATAATCAGGAATCATTTATTAAAATAACTGACACAAAGTCACCATAGAAAAGGGGAACACACTGTTGTCATACAGCTCGGGAGAAGTTTAAATTATCACTAAGACATCAAACCATAAAATAAATAAAATAACTCTAAAAAATGTTCTCTACGTACCAGACATTGAAACTAATCTTTGGTCAGTTACCAAAGCAACAGAAAACGGATACACTGTAACATTTAGAGAAAATAAATGCATGATAATTCATGATCAGGAAGTTTATTTAGAGGGAATAAAAAGAAATAATTTGTACGAAGTGAAATTAAATAACGAAACAAATCAGGAGTATGCTAAATTAACCAACATGTGCGATAACAAAAATTGTATTGAACTTTGGCACAGAAGACTAGGGCGAAAAATTGATATTGAATGATTTAGTTACAGGAATTGACTTAAGTCGATGCAAACACAATAATTTATGTGAAAATTGCGTACAAAGTAAACTCACAGACAATCCGTATCCTAAATCAACTCAAAACAGAGTAACTAAATGTCTTGAACTTATACACAGTGATATCTGCGGCCCAATGAAAACTCAGACGATAGGAGGAAAATCATATTTTTTAACTTTAATTGATGACTACAGTAGATATACATTTGTTTACCTTTTATCGAAAAAATCCGAAGCACTAATTAAAATTGAACAATACATAGCCATGGTGGGAAATAAATTTTGAAAAATACCCGAAAACTTAAGAACTGATAATGGTGGGGAATACCTCAACAAAGAAACAGAAAACTATTTAAGAGAAATGGGGATTAACCATCAACTAACAGTACCATATTCGCCTAGTCAAAATGGCGTTGCTGAAAGAAAGAATAGATCAATAATTGAAATGGTTAGAGCTTTACTAACTCAGGCAAACCCATCATTTCTGGGAAGAGGCATTGTACACAGAATTAATTTTC